GAAGATAGAAGCATGTCTAGAACAGAAACACCAGATGATAACAAATTAAAATAAGGAGCAGAAATCTTACAATAGTGTCTTCTTCAAAAGATTCACTGCTTTGCTCATTGTTTGAACAATAATTTTCTTTACCTGAAGTGGCACAAGAAGAATTTAGTAATCTTTACGCATGAAAACACTGTTTTTTGCGAAAAACTAACATTACAGTTGATTTTTTTAAAAACAAAACAATGTAGTGCATATTGTAAAACTTGTAACATGTAATGAGAAGATAGTATTTCAACAGAGGATCAAACACCAAAGAATCCCTATACAAAAGGCTGCACAGACGGTGGAACTGTTTAAACACATCGATTGCAACATTACCAAAATAGGCATGTCATGCTACAGTGGTGCTCTTTTCCATTAAAATCCACATTTATTGATATTTTCTTGACCATATTTTTGAGGCAAAGAACACAAATGCTTAAGAGGAGTAGAAGCATGCCAGGAGCCCTTCTTATCACCAAAATAGAGGAGAAAAAAGAAGTCATATACCCCAAACTTGTCTTTCCTAGAATCATGATTTCTGGGAAGTTTGCGAAGCTCCTCAGTCAAACGGATGCACTCATTCACATTTTCAGCAGAAATAAAATCAAGAGAGACGTAGATACAGGGCTGTAAAAGATGAACACACAGGAAGTCACTGAGCTGAGTTTATAAAGGTACTAAATTTATGTTTCACTATACTAAGATCTTACTATTGTAAACAATATCGGAGCCCATAAGAAGAACATGCCTATCAAATGGTGTGTACTTTGAGAAAAAGAAGACATAGTTATCTATGTAAGAAAAGAGAAAAGAGACATTTTTTTTTAGCGGACTAAAAAGGAAAGTAAGACAAACAAATTGAAATGGAGAGAGTATTAAAGGCTGGGATATAAAAGAAAACATTGCTGGAAAAGAAAAGAAAATGATGGCTCTAACTTGACTTCCCTAGTACTACAAAAAATTGCTATAAAAAAGAATGATAGGATGGCGTGGGATAAAGAGATGAACTAAATGCATACCTTTAAATTTCTAACTTGATGAGGACATCCGGCAGGAACAAAAACAGCTTCACCTAATTTTTGAACAAAAGTCCATGGTTCAATGCCTATAAAAGGAAATGAAAGCACAGTGAACACTAGATGCAATCTCAGAAACTGCTTTTACATGAGACATGCAAGGAAATAGCAACAAATAAGAGAAAAAGATAACCATATTCTTCCTTTAGCCTCCTTTTATGCTCAACGCTCAAGTAGAAACTTTTATCCCAAATGGGATGAACAACCTGTGATGGAAAACATATATTGGAGTTTATCAACTTTTCATTGTAACTTTGGGTAGCTAGGAGATGTAATTTGTGAACCATAACATAGCTAAAATTGTTACCGGTGGAAACGGTGAGCCTATGTGCCTAAATTCCCTGAAGTGCTTCCTGAGATATTCCTCCAATTAAGGAACGTCTTGCCTCCTAAAGACATCCCATAGAGCATCATCATCTGCTTCTTCAAATCCTTCAGACCTATCTGTTTCACAATCAGCTGTTACACTCAAGACAGATTTTCCATTTACATTAGGTATGTTAGTCTTAATGCTCTCAGGCATCCTGTTAGCATCAGCTACAAATTCCCTCTGATCCCGTGCTTTGTGAATCTGTCTCAACTTCTCTATGGCCACGAGCTGTTCAACCTTTGGAACCACTGCTTCAGTGTGCATCAATACGTTGACCTAAAATATACATAATTTAAAAGAAAAATAAGACCTTAAGCATGAACTTGGATATGCCTTTTTTGTAAGTTTTTTAATGTAACTTCATCCTAAATTCCCCCCCAAAAGATTAGAGTGCATGTTAACATTTCCGAGTATCTAGATCTCTACAGTAACAGCAGCTTGTTACACTACAGTTGAAGGAGCCAAACATACCGTATCAGTCAGAGCATAGTGTAGTTTGGTGACCGAGTCTCCACGTCCAAGCTCCTTAGGAAATCCATAAGCAATGTGTACCTTGTAAAGGTTGCATACGTGCTGGAAAACAAAACACGTAATTAATGAAGGCAGAAAGCGTATTAAATAGAGTTAGAGAGAAAACAACAAGACTTCTATATGAACAGAACTCAAGTTATCTAAATAAACAATAAGTGCTCAAATAATAGATGACTAGACGAACCATGCACCAATTGGAGCAATTTAAGATATCAACAGCCTTCATGGTTTGTCGACAGGCACTCCATATTACCGTAGGCTCCCAGCTCAATCGCAATGCTCTATCATGAACGTCAGTTACAATAACTGGTTCACCCTTGGAAAAAGAGAACCGGAAATGCATTGAATTTGTGCTCTGAATATCCACAGCTGCTGGGGAGAATAAGTAATTATCACTAGAATTTTCCCGAGCAGCTGCCTTACGTACGTTGGGACCAGAAGTACTAGGTTCCCCCTTTGATTTTGAACTGTAGTGGTCCAGTGCTGAATCTATATGCAAGTTACATTTTTGAGCTATTTCCTTAGCCCTCAGTAACAACTCGAATATCAGTAACTCAGAAAATAGACACCTCAAATATAACGTTCCTTCACTACAGCCTCTCATATCTTTTGGTGGGCAAGAAATGGCACCATTTTCCATGGGTTTCCATTTAGATTCCGTAGCGACCTCGGTTTGATCCCTTGTTATAACTTCAGCCATTCCAGGCAAATAACCTGGTCCATTGTCAATATTTTGCATCCTCACCTCGGATGCATCTGCTTGCAAGTTGCCATTCCGTAATTCTTTGCAACAAGTAAGGCAAAGTTTATAGGAACAACTAGAACAACTCCGATGAAAGTCAACAATAAAAGCACTGCAATAGTTGCTGCAAAATAACAGATGACATTCATTATTCGGTGAACTTATCAAATAATTGCAGTCTTAAGAGAAATGTGAATGCTCACCAATAAATGGACTTGGTCTTCTCATTTTCTGCTTTTTGTGTATTAACCTCAAAATCTGGAAATACTGCCCAAAGAAAGAAAAATGATACTAAATGAACACATTGAGCTACTTCACTTTGATTATGTAGAGTCACTCACATTAATAATGACGACCTATTAAATGAATCTATAACCTTCTTACTATCGAATAGAGAAATTTAATACCTCCAATCTGATACTCCATCGGCTTTTCAATCATTTGCTCTGTATTGAGTTGTTCCAAAGCAGGCAAAAGTGCGCGTACTATGTGTTTAGAGTAGACGATTTTTTCTTCATCAGTGCACTTCACATCTATATTCAACAAATCCTGTATTGCAAACAAGAGAACCACTCAATTTGCGATAAATAAATGTTTTAGAGCAAATATCAGACAATGAGAAGAATTGAAAGAATCCTACTTTCGGTAGCTCCTGTAACAGCAAACATTCTTTACAGTTGCAAAGGTTACGACATACAGGGCAAGCACTTAAGAAGGCCTCTTCTGGTATCCAAGGGTACCTACAAAGTGGACAAATAGAAAACTAATTACTCTTAACATATTTTGCAGTAATAAAGGATGGCTAAGCATCAGAAACAATCATTAGCAAATATTACCATCGACTAAAAGCACACAAGTATTTAGCAAAAATAGGGATGTAACTGGGCAGGACGCGGAAGGGTGAGCCTTAACTTGCTAACGTTTTTGCGCGTCCTGTCCTTCTCTGCCCCGTTTAGCCTTAACTTGCAAAAAAATTCCACAATTTTGCCTAGCATGCCCCGCCTCATTGCCATTTATGCAAATGATTATCCCACATTTCATCAAAAACTCTCAAAATGATATTCAAATATTCTATTCCCTCCAAAAAGTAGGATTAATATGCCTACATCTTCAAACTGTATCCTTGGCCAAAAAAATCTCAATCAAGTCCCCTCGTGATGAGGAAGATTAACATCTCAAGTTTAAATCCTAGATCGGCATCTAAATTCGAACCATCGATTGATTCAAGGTAGGCAAAATGTTTTATCTTTACAAAAAAAAATCTCAATCAAGTCCCCCTCGTGATGAGGAAGATTAACATCGCAAGTTTAAATCCTAGATCGACATCTAAATTCTAACCATCGATTGATTCAAGGTAGGCAAAATGGTTTATCTTTACAAAAAAAATCTCGATCAAGTCCCCTCGTGATGAGGAAGATTAACATCTCAAGTTTAAATCCTAGATCGGCATCTAATTCTAACCATCGATTGATTCAAGGAAGGCAAAAGGTTTTATCTTTACAAAAAAAATCTCAATCAAATCCCCCTCGTGATGAGGAATATTAACATCTCAAGTTTAAATCCTGGTTCGGTGTCTAAATTCTTACCATCGTTCGATGCAAGGAAGGCAAAATGTTTTATCATTACAGTTGGAACAACACACAAGTCTGTCTTTGTCACTCTTCTTACACTGATGACACATTTTAGACTTCCCTCTCTTCCTGCTGTTTTCTCCATCACTAGAAAAACTCATTTTCTTCCTCTTCTTATTCGTCTTCTCCATTGAATTATCAACTTTTTCTTCATCACTAGTGCTGATATCCATATCTGATGATTCTTTTTCCTTGTTTTCCATTTTCTCTTTCAACAAAACTTTTCAGCTGCACTTCTACTCTTTTCTGTCTTACTAGCCGCACTTAGGTTTTGTCTGAAAAATGTTATAAATAAATACACTCAGATGCTGACGTGACACAAAGATCGTGCTGAGGTGCAAATAGTGTGCTAAGGTGGTGCAAAGAGCGTGCTCACTCTCTTGAACACATGTGAGGAATTGAACATTTTATAACTACATTAAATGCATAATTGACTAACATTAAAAGTTAAGGTGATATCTTTTAAATTATTTTACTTTATTTCTTTATGTGGCGCTACTATAAAAAGAAATAAAATTAATTCAAATATATCAGAATAAAGAGAGGCATAAAATGCATGTCCTTAGCTTCATTCAACACCCCTAAATTAGTTGTACTTACTTGCTACCGGACTTATCTGTCTATTCAATTGATTTTGTTGCAGAATCTTCCTTGCGGGAGACGACAAGATCTTGTTCCTGCTCCTTTTTCTTTGCTTCGATCTCAAGTTGAAGTGGAAGAAAAATCAAAGATCCAAATAATTTTACCATTCTGTAAAAACTCCATACTCAGTTTAAAGCTAACAACACTAGTGTCAAAGTACCATTGCATTATTGGCATAATGTTTTCAATATAATGCAACTACAATTAATAGTAGAGCCTAGCTGAAACACACACATAATTTACTAAAACCTAGCCAATGCTGATTCATTGTAAGCTCGTACAGCAGAATCACTGAAAAGTGAAAACACATATTGAAATCATTGCTTGACTTTTCAATTTCTCGCGGAGATCTTCAAGAACTAGTGTTAGTAAACATCAAAAGTTGCATAGCAGTTATCACTCATCAGGTGGTGAACCATAAATATCTACAAAAACATCAACATACCGGGAAAAAGCAGCCTAAAACCTCCAACAATCTATACATACAGATGAACTATAACTCCACCTTCCAAAATGTATCTAGTCCAAGGAACCATAACGTCAAGAAAGTTAAAACAGTTGTGGTTTCTGACAACAGAAGGGGAGACCGGAATGTAACATCTACGGGAATGTAGACTGAAAGTTGGACCAATTTTTCCTTAAGCCATCCATCTGCATCTTTGTTGTTGCCAATTCATTGCTAGTGCTTTCTATCCTGACAGATTTTTCTTGAGCTAACAACATGAGTTTTTGAGCTTCTTTAGACCCTTCTTGTCGTTCATCCATGATTTCTTTCTGTCTGGTCCTTATATCTTGAAGTAATGCTTCCAACTCCCTAGCTTGTTCCTCCTTTTTATCATACTCCGACTTCAACATTGCTTCTGATCTAATCCAATTATCCAGTTTTTTCCTGTCCTCTTTTAAGTTGGTCAAGCATTCCTGGTAACTTAATTCAGCTCGTGCCAAGTCCCTCCATTTCTTAACCATGACAGGGAATTCATACTTGAGTTTTACCAATTGCTTGGCTTGTTCATCGCTAAACAATGATGAGGGATTTTCATTTAAAGCAGCAATTGCACCATGCATTTCTTTTTCATTTATCGGATCATGAGCCAATGCCTCCAAAGGTAGTCTGATTGAACATTCAAATATCAACTTTGCAAGTGTTTGGGCTGAAGAAGTACTATTGCTCTGGAGGCCGGATTGTTGGCTGGGATACTGCTCTGGTAAAGACTTCAAGAATGACTGAACCGTGTGGAAAGTTGATTCAACGTCCTCTATATCGATGAACTGCTTCAACTCTTGACTAGGAACCGATGTGTTTTCTTGAGCCTGACAATATAATGCATACTTTTACATAATCAATAACAAGGAAAAGCTAAACCGGAAAAGATATCAGTTGCTAATTGAGTAACCTTGTTAGCTGAAAGAACTGGAAGCAGAGAATGTACATTAACTTCAGTAGTTCTTGGTTTCTCATCCTCACTTGGGGGAACATATTCTTCAATTTTGACAGTCTTGCTACTAGATAGATCTTCCGAAACGGAGGAAGATTTTGGCATACTTGGTCCTGGCATAGCCTAGAAAAGAGGAAATGAAAAAAAAGAAACCAAATAATGAAGTTTGACTTAAAAATGAAAGCTATTGGGACTGTTGAGATATCAGTAATCAATTGAGTAAACCTTGTTTGCTGAAGACAGGTGATCAAGAACTGGATACGGAGAACGTCGATTAACTTCAGCAGTTCTTGGTTTCTCATTCTCACTTGGAGCAACATATTCTTCTCTTCTGGTAGTCTTGCTACTAGATAGATTTTCCGAAACGGAGGAAGATTTTGGCATACTTGGTCCTGGCATGGCCTAGAAAAGAGAAATGAAAAGAAAAGGAAGCCAAATAATGAAGTTTTGACTTAAAAATGAAAGCTATTGGAACTGTTGAGATATCAGTAATCAATTGAGTAAACCTTGTTTGATGAAGACGGATGATCAAGAACTGGAAGCGGAGAACGTAGGTTAACTTCAGCAGTTCTTGGTTTCTCATTCTCAGTTGGAACAACATATTCTTCTCTTTTGGCAGTCTTGCGACTAGATAGATCTTCCGAAACGGAGGAGGAAGATTTTGGTGTACTTGGTCCTGGCATAGACTAAAAAGGAGGAAATGAAGAAAAAAAAAGCCAAATAATGAAGTTCGACTTGGAAATGAAAGTTGTTGGGAATGTGGCTCACATTTATACTTCTGCTGATCGAACGTGATAAGGATAATCCTGTACCGATGCCTGCTTCAGAGTTCCTACTTGCATCCACGAAAGAAGAAGAAGAAGAAGAAGAGAAAGAAACTTTAAGTGTACATAAACAAGGGTATTTAGCCTTCTGAAGAGCACTAGAAGCAATGACATTGTTTGAACGGCAGGTAGTTCAAGAAAGAAGACTTTTGAAACTCATTAATAAAATGAGAATTTATGCAAGGCTCAGAGAGATGGCAGGAAAACTTTACGAGACAGGAGAAAAGAGGTTATATAAGTTCATTTTCTCAACGAAATATACAAGTTTCATGTTAACCAAAAAGCAAATAAGAGCACAACTTTGTGAAAACAAGGAGCAACAATCTTACAATAGTGTCTTCTCCAATTGATTCACCGCTTGGCTCATTGCATGAACAATTATTTTCTTTACCTGAAGTGGCACACGCAGAATTTAGTAATCTTTACACATGCAAACACTCATTTCAGCGAGAAACTAATATTACAATTATAACATCAATGTAGTGAAAAAAGAAGTCAAATACCCCCAACTTGTCTTCCCTAGCTTCATGATTTCTGGGAATCTTGCGAAGCTCCTCAGTCAAACGGATGCTCTCATTCACATTTTCAGGAGAAATAAAATCAACAGCAACATTGATACAGGACTGTAAAAGATGAAAACGCCAGAAGTCACCGAAATTACTCAATTTCGTTTATTATCTTTTCTTTCTCTTCATAAAGCAGTACAAAAGATGCCATTCAAGAAGCTGTATAGGATAGATGATACTTTCTAAAGCAATATTAAGGATTATGACAGGGATCTAAAAGCAGAAACTGCTGGAAAAGAAAAGAAAATGACGGTTTTATGCGCTGCTGGACTTTCCTAATACTACAAAAACTTGCTATAAAAAAAGGGCGATAGGATGACGTGGGATAAAGAGATGAACTAACTCCATACCTTTAAATTTCTAACTTGATGAGGACATCCAGCAGGAACGAAAACAGCTTCACCTAATTTTTGAATAAATGTCCACGGTTCAATTCCTGCAAAAGGAAATGAAAGCATAGTGAATGCAAGATACAGACTCCGAAACTGCTTTTTGCACGAGACATGCAAGGAAATGGCAATGAATAAGAGAGTAAGATGACCATATTCTTCCTTTAGCCTCCTTTTATGCTCAGTGGTCAAGTAGAAAGTTTCATCAAAAATGGGATGAACAACCTGTAATGGAAACAATATTTTGGAGTTTAATCAATATATTCTTGGATTATTCAACGAGGATATCAGGTGAAATAGTATATTGGAGTTTAATGAAGTATCAAATTTCCATTGTAACGTTGGCTAGCTAAGAGATGTAATTTCTGAACCATAAAAGATAAGAAACCATAACTAACATCCATCAACAGAGCCGAAGTACAATAACGAACATTACATGTTTTCACACAAAGTATCAAAGTGATTATTATGAGAATTACAAATAACTTACATCACACCATTATAGCAATTACAATGGAAATCACCAAGACGATAAATATCAGGCCACATCCTATGGAGATGTGACAAGTCAAGAGACAGAAACATTGAATGACAACGTGCACTTATAGTCATGGGGGAGGCAAAACATGGATAAAGATAAAATTACTTTAGAAATTTCAAAATGGAGAAGTGAATGAAAGTTGCAGCTTATCTTTACCTGCGGCAACGGTGAGCCATATATGTGCCTAAATTTCCTGAAGTGTTTCCTGAGATATTCCTCCAATTTAGGAACATCTTGCCTCCTAAAGACATCCCATAGAGCACCACCATCTGCTTCTTCAAATCCTTCAGACCTATCCTTCCCAAAACGAGAACTACTATCCTCTCCGTCTTTCTTTGTTTCACAATCAGCTTTTACACTTCGCAGGCAATACTTCTTATTCTCAGATTTACCACTATTCTCAACTTTCAAACCATCACAGTTCTGTTTCTTCTGAGAAAAGTTCATCCCTTTCAGCACAGATTTTTCGTTTACATTAGGGACGTAATCCTTAATGCTCTCATGCATCCTGTTAGCATCAGCTACAAATTCCCTCTGATCCTGCTCTTTGTGAATCTGTTTCAACTTCTCTATGGCCGAGAGCTGTTCAACTGTTGGGACCACTGCTTGAGTGTGCATCAACATGTTGACCTAAAATATACATAATGTTAGAGTGCATGCTAATATTTCGGAGTACTTAGATCTCTACAGTACCAGCAAATTGTTACACTACATTTTGAAGGAGCCCAACGTACCGTATCAGTCATAACATAGTGTAGTTTGGTGACTGAGTCTCCACGTCCAAGCTCCTTAGGAAAACCATAAGCAATGTATGCCTTAGGCCCCAAATCTGGCTTCACGCAGTTATCAGGAAGTCTTAGAGCAAGATTGAGATAGCCATATTGAGGATGTGTATATTCCATAAAAGGTAAACAACTTGAAAATTCAGCACCATGACGCGGCAGCTGCTCATCAAATAGACCTGATGGCGGCCAGTCATTCAACTTTAAGAGTTGAGGCCACCCGTAACTGTCAAAGCGACCCTCCGTGTATCCTATAAAAAACTGGTGTATGTTCTTTTCCAACTGCATGGTATCCAGGATAAAGTAAACTAAGGTAAGAACATGGAAAATATAATATACTACACCTCAATTGATTCTGATTTTACAAAGCATGTTTACACAAACCTTACACCAATTTAAGCAATTTAAAACATCAGTAGCCTTCTTGGTTTGTCGACAAGCACGCCACATTACCATAGGTTCCCAGCTCAATCCCAACGCATTATCATGGACGTTAGTTACAACAACTGGTTCACCCTTAGCTAAATATAGACGAAAATGCCTCAAATTTGCACTCCGAGTATCCACAGCTGCTGGACAGAATACATAGTTATCATCAGAACTTTCCCGTGCAGCTGCCTTACGTAGCTTGCCACCATAAGTACCATTTTCACCGTTAGATTTTGAACAGGAGTAGTGCAGTTCTGAATCATTATACATTTCCTTCACTTTACATTTTTGAGATATTTCTTTAGCTTTGAGTAACAGCTGCGATATCCAATTCTCAGAAAATATACATCTCAAATTTAATGTTCCGTTACTACAGCCTCCCATATCTTTGGGTGGGCAAGGAATGGCACCATTTTCCACGGATTTCCATTTAGATGTCATCGCCACCTTAGTTTGATCCCTTATTTTAACTTTAGTCGTTCCACCACAAGTTCCATTCTTGACTGAAGCTACACTACAACCTTTACCATGCAAATAATCCCGTCCATTGTAAATATATTGCATCCTCACTTCGGATGCATCTGCTTGCAAGTTGTCATTCCTTAATTCTTTGCAACAAGTAAGGCAAAGTTCATAGGAACAACTAGAACACCTCCGGTGAAAATCAACAATAAATTCACTGCAATAGTTGCTGCAAATAACAGATGGCATTCAATATTCAGTGAATTTATCAACTACTCCCTCCGTCCCAAAATAAGTGTAGCTTTAGCAAAATAAGTGTCGCTTAAGGAATTCAAGACAAAAATAGTAATTGTTTTCAAATATACCCTTATATTAAAGAACTACTTCCTAAAAATATTCGATTCTCAAAAACATCTAATAAATAGGGGTAACTTAGTAAAGTATACCTTACATTTATTGTTTTTCTAATTGGGCGTGAAATGAGTTAAAGCGACACTTATTCATGGACAGAGGGAGTAATTACAATCTAAAGTAAATATGAATGCTCACCAATAAATACACTCGTCCTTCTCGTAATTTGCTTTGGGTATTTTAACCTCCGAATCTGGCAATGCTGCCAAAGAAAGAAAAAATGGTACTCAATGAAACAATCTTTTTCTTGAAGAATTACAGCCCCAAAACTCATAGCCTTCTTAAACGCTATCAGTATTTGCAAAATCACATCGAGTCACTCACATTAATAATCCGCGTTACAAACAGTAAATGACAACCTACTAAGTGACACCACCTCTTTACAAATCTATAACCTTGTTAGTATCAGATTGAGAGATTTATAATACCTTGAATCTGATACTCAATCTGTTTTTCAATCATTTGCTCGGTATTAAGTTGTTCCAAAGCAGGCAAAAGTGATCGTACAATGTGCTTAGAGTACTCAAGTTTTTCTTCATCACTGAACTTCACTTCTACATTCATCAAATGCTGTATTGCAAACAAGAGAACCACTCAATTTGCAATAACTAAATGTTTTTAGAGCATTAGACAAAGAGAAGAACTGAAAGAATCCTACTTTTGCTGTCCCATCTAACCGCAAACATGCTATGCAGTTGCAAAAGTTACAACATACAGGGCAAGCTTTTAAAAAGTCCTCCTCTAGCATCCCAGGGTACCTTCATATAGAAAACAGAAATGATGAACATCAGAAACTGATTACAGACAAACAGATGTAGCCAGAGTGATCGGGGCAATGGTTACATATATAATGTATTACATTTGATTAAAATTGATCATATAAATATGCTAATTCATCAATGCTATAAATATCATCAAAGAGTTCATATAAACACTATTATATCATATGATTGTCAAAGATCCAAGTCTTCAAGCATCAACCTCAATGACCAAAACAAAAAATGCACAAGTACTTAGCAAAAAATAGGTATGTAAGTTGTAACTAGGGCAGGGTGAAGCAGGACGGGGAAGGGCACAACTTAACTTGCTACAGTCTTAGCCCGCCCCGCCCTGCCCCATTTTAGCTTTTCCCCCCACAACTTTTCCCTTCCTCTCTACCCCATTGCCATTTACAAAAGATCATCCCAAAATTTCTTCAAAAACTCTCACAAAATGATAATCAAATAATCAGTTTATCCCAATTTATACTACTCACTTTCATTTTTACTCCGTCTAAAAAAGAACAACATATTTCTATATTCATGAACTTTAAAAGGCTCATTAGTCACACAAACATAATTTAAACCACATATTTCAAAAGCATTTCTTTCTTAAACTCCAGGTCAAGTCAAACTACATCATATAAATTGAACTGAAGCCAAAAACTAGGATTACTATGCCCACATCATCAAAAGTTTCAATCTTTAGCTTTAAAAAAAACCTCAACCAAGTCCCCTCATGATAAGGAAGATAAACAAGTCAAAACCCGAAGTTTAAATCCTGAATCCACTTCTAATATAGTACTTACCATCTATTGATACAAGCAAGACAATATCTTTTCACTTTACATTTGGAACAACACACAACTCTTTCTTTATCAGACCTCTGACACTGATGACACATTTTGGACTCCCCTTTCTTCCAACTATTAGAAAAACTCATTTTCTTCCTCTTCGAATTCGTATTATCAGAACTATCATCATCATCACTAGAAGTGTTATAATTATCAATATAATCAACATCATCAACATCATCTTCTTCTTCTTCACTACTACTACTGATATCTATGATCACAATTGGGATATCTAATTTCCTTCTCTTGTTTTGCATTTTTTTTTTCTTTTACTTCCAAAGAAAATTCTCAGCTAAGCTTCTACTCCCAAATCCCAATACAAAGTGAAAGTCTTTTTGTTTCTGCGCGGGAATAACTTAGCATGCCTTACTTGGGTATCCGCTCCGTTCACTTTTACTATTCATTTTGAATGGTGTGATAGTATGTCTAATGTTAACTTGATGCGAAGTTTAAGAAAATTAAAATAAAATTGAATCTTATACATATAATTTGTACTAAAATGTATTTTAATTTTGTGGAATATTTGGTACCGATTTTTATACTCCCTCTATCTAATATTAATTGATCATTATATTAAAAATAATTGTCTCATACTTACTAAATCAAGAAAGTATTAATTGATTTATTCTCATATTATTCTTGCAATTAATTATTTTTGAAAGTGTTTAAACTTGTATGGAAAGCTCCAAAGAAGTTCTTAAGGAGTGAATTGGTAAAACTATCCTCTTATTTATGATTTCTTAATATGCGTGTCAACTAATATGAGACGAAAGAGTCATATAAGTTAATTCTTATATATGTATATTTTTGTTGGGTTATATGTTTAAACCAAAAGCGACTATAGATGCTATAATAAAACTTTGTAAGATAGTAAGTATCTCGACAACTCTATGAAAATCAAATGAGGTCTCGACAAAATTTAAGAAGTTAAAAAATGACTTTTCAATTTTATAGTGTTAAATTAAAAAATAGGTAGAAATTAGAATATACTAAAGTGTGTTTTAATTTGGTAATCTTAAACATATTCAGTAGAAAGTTAAAACTAAAGAGTTAATATTTTTTATAAAAATAAAAGTACAATATTTTTTAAATGGACTAAAAGAAAAAGTAAAACAAAATATTTTCTTTTAAGATTTTCATAATAGAGAAAGTTGCACTATGCATATATTCTGATCATTTCAATTGTCTGTCATGTTTGAAAAAAATTTGACTAATTTGAATTACAATATGCAAAGGCGAGAGTCTTACTCGTCCCTGCTTGGTTTATAATATCAAGATTAACTAGAGACGAAATCACCTAATGTTTTTCCATCTCTGTTGTAATTTGAACCTTGCACACACTTCATTAACCATTAGACTACACCCTCGGGGCACAAAGACAACTAAAATGTATTGTCACAGTAACCAACGATCCATTTGAGTTTTACCATTCTGTCAAAACTCCATACACAGTTTAAAGCTAACAGCTTGGCAACACCATAGCCAAAGTATCATCTACTTAAACGTTTTCAATATAATGCAACTACAATTGATAGTAGAGCCTAGCTGAACACATCAGAATTTCTAAAAATACATATATCTCGCGGAAATCTTCATCAACTAGTCTCACTAAACAGCACAAGTTGCATAGCAGTTATCATTCATCAGGTGGCGACCCACCTGGAACCAGCTGCATTAAGGGGGGAAAAGATTATATTCACGATAGCAATATTGTTATTCGAAGGAAAAAAGGGAAAAAAGTGAAGAGAGATTATATTCGGAGAGGGCTCTAGATTATACTCACGATAGCAATGTGGTTTCCATTGAGCAATATCTGATCAAGTTTTGTTATCCTCCGCCCTTCAGAAGTGATCTCACTGCAACATAATTGAAAACTTGTTGAGCAGAGGATTGATAAAAAGCTCTTTTCAACTATAGCCCATGACCGGGAAAAATAAACCTGTCTACATCCCGGGATGGGGAATAACATGAACTTTACAAATGGCAGACATACTGTGTTCCATTAAAAATTTAGGAGATAATAACTTTTACGCGGATAAACTAGACTTGGAGAGACCACATCTTATACTGAATATCAATAAAGCAGATGAATGCATCCTAAAACATCCATTTTCAATATCTAATTATAGTTTCTTTTTGAGAAATAATTTCGATATCAAATTATATTTTGGTTCTCCCTAAAAGAATAGATTGGGCAGCATCAGAAGTTGCAAGACAAACAACGAAGCTGCTATGAACGTAAAGGTGCCGTACTCAAGGAGTATGTTTTAGCCTTAAGGTGTCAACTTATGAAATTATTACTGTATACAATGATCTCTTTTAGATCTGTAAGACAGAATATGCAAATAACATGTTATCTAGTCATTAAATTTCCTTCGACAGCTACCCATCCACAATCCACAGTTCCAAACCATGGGACAACTAGACAAAACAGGCAGAACAAACGTGAGAATTCACTCTCCCTCCTCCTCCTCTTCAATTATGTTTCTTTTATCCATGTGATTCCACAGCATAGTGACTTCCACTCCAAGGGGATAAGATAATGTATAAGAAGGCCACAATTTAAATGCATTCTCCAAATTCTGCGTAAATATTTTAATTGCACTTGGGAAACATAAATCAGGTTCCCTAAACAATACTATATATTATCCATTTTTAAGGTTCAATAAGTTACTTCTTCTTTCACCAGGAGAGATAACAACATCATCATCTAAAATAGACAGACTGAGAACTTTCGACTCGTATCATCTTAGTTTGTACTAAAATAAAACTAAATCCTCACTCTAATAGAGATACCAAAACTAATTTCAGTCCCCAGTGCAACAGATCAGGCCTCCGCCTCAATAACATACCCAGTGAAATCCCACAAAGTGAGGTCTAAGAAGGGTAGAGTATATGCAGAACTTACCCCTACCTCGTGGAGGTAGAGAGGTTGTTTCCGAAACACCCTCAACTCAAGTAAAACAAAACAAAGGAGTAATACAAAATGTGATGCAGAAATGGCAGTGAAATAAATATTATAAAATTGTTGCACAGTGGAGTGAAAAATAGTCCATTCCACTATAGCTCATAGCAGAGTTATGAGGGCGGAGGCAGGACGGATACCTTTTCAAATGGCACAAACTATGTAAACTATAGCTCATAGCAGAGTTATGAGGGCGGAGGCAGAACGGATAGCTTTTCAAATGGCACAAACTATGTAACATCAATATTTATGCATTAACATTTATGCAGAGCTAACATACAAAATTATTGTAAAGAGTAACTCTCAAAAAGCTGAGCATACATTACTTTACAACATTAACATGATGGTTCCCAATTCCCAGCTCCATCATAATAAAATCCAATGGCTGCTACGATATACCAGGATAAGAGCATGGAAAAGAACATGCATTATTTACTTAACAGAAAGGCATGAATTTGTGATCAACATTCAAGACTTCCCAATTCCACATTACAAACTGGTGTATTCGAACCTCACCAAAAGTTCACAACTTTATTCTTGAATCATTTTCAACTACACACAACGCTAAACCCCAATTCTCATATAAGAACACAGATTGCAATTCTAAACTCGGCAAATTTGACCGGGCACCTATCACTACACAAAACTGGTCTACTTAATCAATCTCTGCTCCAAATCCAATGCACACAATTGAAAACCTACTAAATTCCTTTAGAACTCCATAACCCTAGAGTCACAATCTTTGACAAAACAATGGCAAAATTCTAGCATTCCAAAACCCTAAAGTTCCAATTTTTAACAAAACAACAGCAAAATCATCAACAAAAAGAACTGCCCCACACCATAAAAAGTAAAGAGACAAAAAACTTACTATTCAGTAACATCTTCAAGAACCATGTTAACATAAACATCAAATCCTCTAAGTGTACCAACAAGCTCCTTATCACCCTTCATTATCACCCATATCTTTGAACCAATGCAACGATCAATCAACTCTGCAAAATTAAACACATAAACTCAAAAACCCATCTCATAAAACTAACAAAAAAACATAAAAATTACACCAAATCCCTAAAAAAAAACAAGAACAAATTCAAAAAAATAGAAGGCAAAAGTTAAAGAAAGTACCAGAAGGAAGAAGCTGAGAAGGGTTGTTCGAAGACATAGCTGAGATTGAGATTTCACAAAGTTTTTCTCTTTTGCTCACAAAATTCTAATGGTGGTGAACTGAAAAGGCTTAAAACTGTTCAACTTTAGGGGCTTTTGTGTTTAGGGTGATTTGTTGGAGGGTTGAAATTGATATTTTATAAACTTTGAGCCTTTTGGGCCTGGATTTTGCCAATGGCCCAATATCAGACTGTTAATAATGGGCTTGGATTCTCTCTTTCCTTTTCTTAGGTATATGGGCTTGGCCCATTTAAATTTGAAGATTTGGGAAAATGGGTACTAGGAAATGATGCGTGATGTCTTTGAAAGTGTTCGATTTTGAATTTTTGATCTTGCTTAATAAAACTTAAAAAAATGATCTTAAGTTGAAAAAAATGGCTAGGAAGAACTTACGTTGTCTACCATAAGACAAAGTTTGTGGTTAATTGAGCAAGTTTCATACCACTATCATTTAGAATGTAATTGAGAAATAATGGAGTTCTGATTAAGAGTTTCAAACTACGTGAAAAAATTATGAAGTTCATTTTTTTATCAGTTTAAACTTTATGAATAATTAATGGGATTTAATTTTTCACAATTACAGTGTGAAATTATGTTGGTATTTTGAGTTATTCGGAAAAGATTCACGGAATATAAATTTTCACAATCATAATGAAAAATTATTGGAAATTCAAATTCAATAAATGACTTGGGGAGTTTAAACTCCTAAAATAAATCATGGAACTAAACTCACAACCTATACATGAAAAATTACTTAAGTTTTAAATTTGAGAAACGATTTATAGAGTGGAGTGGATGCTATATATTAGGGTAGATGGTTAGTAGGGTTAGAAGGTATCTCGCTTAGGCTTGTTAGTGCCTGTTGTTAGGGGTGGAGCTAGCTTAGGCCTAGGTGGGTCATCTGAACCCCCTTCGATCGAAAATTTCACTATTTATACATGATTAAAATTATTTTTTGTGTATATATAATAAATGTTGAACCCTCTTCGACTAGTTCGTATGTTTACTTATTCATATTTTAAACCCCTAAGTGAAAATTCTAGTTTTGTCTTGTAGTAGTAGTCGTACACTAGTTTCTTTCTTATAGACTTTTTACTATTGTTTTATTAACTGATGTATTCTTCATGATTTTCTTTTTTTGTTACTTGGGTTTAATATACTTGAGCCAAGGATATTTCTTTAATAACATCTCGAACTCTATAAAATAATGATAAAGTCTACGTATATTTTATCATTTTCAAACTCCACCGAATGAGATTTCAGTGTTGTGGTTGTGCTTAGTGAAAAAGTTAGGTAGGCTATGAGGTGTGATTTTGGCCACGAGAGGGACCTTTTAAGACGATGTGTTCTCTTGTGATCAAAGTTTTGTTTAATTCCTCTTAATGTTGCAACTCAAATTAATGAAATGGTCCATTTCTTGTTTCCTATTTTTATTTAATATTCAAAATTTGGTAGCCCACTAATTATAGTTTGTCAAGCTTTTAAGAAATTAAAAGTATTTCTTTTATTTTTAAAAGAATATATTTTTTTCTAGAAAATTGATGTGTTTGATCAAGCTTTTAATAATAAAAATTGTTTTAGAAAAACTGAAAAAATACTTTTTAAAAAACTTGTCCAAACGCAATTTGCTGCAATAATACTAGCAAAACATTTTTTTTTTCAAATTGATCAACCAAACAAAAATAATTATTCTTCGAAATTCGAAACTACTTTTTTAACAAAAGAGCCTTTCACGTGGGTCTATCTTTGGTTCACTCTCTCAAAATGGGCCCGTTAGAAGTAGAAACAGACTCCATTGATATCTGAAGACTGCTAGATCATCCTCAACCACCTTGCGAATCTATTATATTTGATTGCAGGTCACTGTTGAGGAAGTTGTTGAATCCAGTGGTCCGCCATAGCTTTAGGGAAGGGAACTACGTTGCATATATTTTGGCAAAGCAAGGTTCCAAGCTAACAAGTTATTATATGACTACTATCCTTCAATCCCCTCCGGACATTGTCCAATGCCAGCTTACAAAAGACAAGAACGGAGTAACTTCCTCTAGACTAGTTAACCCTACTACGTGTAATAAGTTAGCTCGTTTCGAAAATTTTGTTGTAACTAATAACCCATATAGGGTTAATGAAAATATTGTACCCCCTAATTATATAAATATATAATATAATCTTATTATCCAAAAAAAAAAAGAAGTAAAGTATTGTATTTGTTGTCTATCATTTGATCACAAACTTTTTACTATGATTCGAATTAAATAGCAAATCTAAATTTAATTAGATTTCAATGTAAGTATCTAACAATATAAAAAACAACACAAATCTACGTTCATATTTTAGTTAATTTTACTTTTCAAGCGTAAAAATAAGATCTAGAACTTTCTATATACTTGATTTTTTTAAGAGAATGAGTAATTGCTTGCCTTAAGACCTAAATTAATGGGAAAGTTCTTTTTTTTTTAATGGAAAAATACGGAAGGAGATTATAAGGTGGAGAGTCGAAATCTTATCAATAAGGTAGAAGTTTAGATAACCAATCAATTGAGCCATAGTCCATATTAAGTGAATTGTTGGGATTTTTTTATAGTTCTGAATTTTTTCAAAGTTCAAGAGAATTGTTGTGACTTTTTTTCTCTTCATATTTATTTAATTAATGAAGTTCGTAACAACTTTATGTTGTCTAAGAGAATAGTCTAGGAATAATTAAAGGGTAATAATGAAAGTAACCTCTAATTTTTATCCTTAAATATATTTTTTCTCATAAGGTGTGTCATATTCAACAATTCATTTAATATGAACTAGACCGGATATTAATATATCCGGCCAATAGGAATATACTTTTTTTTGAATTATTATTTTTGTTAAATATCATCAACCCCATCCTTCCAAACTTTTGGGGATAATTTGTAGAAAAAGTGCAATTTTTGAAAGGCAAGAAAAAGACTTCTATACTTTACCTTAAATATTTGTGCAAAAAGGGAAATGTCTATATTCATAGTGACTTGGCAAAATTAAGCCCATTCATAACAACTAAAATTAGCATTTAACAAATTCATATATTTTTATAGATGACAAGAAACCTAGAAATATATTGAGAATTTATACAATTATGATTTAAAAAAATCTTGTAGACATTGAAGTTTTATTGATAAATTCATATTAAATTTAGATTAAATCTTAAATTTATGATACATTGACCAAGTCAAATTACTGGTTAATAAAGTCGGATTAATATTTAAGTCAAAATTATATGACTTAAATCAAGTCCAAATTACATTTGGGTCAGTCTATTAAGTTGACAAGATGAGCCCAACTCATGCTCTTCAAGCCCAAGGGTCAAAATTGCTCGGGCCAAAATATCCCTAAAACCCTATCTCAAGCCTATATAAAAAGGTCTTTATAAGACCAGAATGAACACACAGAGAAATACATAGAGAATTCTTGCTCTTCAGTAGTGATCTGCAAGTCTTTCGCATACAAAGAAGTCTTCGCTCCAAGTGTTGAGTCGCAAGTATTCCATCAAATCAAAAACATCCGTGAAGAGAAGAATCAGGGAATTACATATCTTTTCTTGAAGATTTTATAAAGACTGTACCCTTCGCATAAATTCAAATACAAATATTGTTGTTTGTTTGCTATTTTCCTTTCATGTTTGTTGTATTTCAGGGACGAAACTTTAGACACATACAAATTTATTTGAAATTTAGGTCTTATTCAAACTTTAAAAGTTAGTGCAGAATGTGAAAATTATCTAAGATTATATAAAGAGATTAAAGAAGTCAGTACACACCAAGAACTGAACAATTAGAACATGAACAAACGAGATAAAATGGGGATCAACACCGGATAAGCCACAAATTAAAATAAGTCTAGCTTTGATATGATGATGAAGAAATGAACATTAGGACTTAACTCGATTTTAAAAGTTGACTCAAAAGATAAGAATTAACCAAGATCACACGAAAAAAATTAAATTAAGAACCCATACGTGGAATATTTATTAATTTGGCAGCAAATTGCCAATTTCTATTGAATATGTTTTTAGACATCAGAATTTTACTTGTAAAGTCTCATAAAATTTCAATGTCTAAAATGCTTATTAAACAAATATTTTTCGATTTTAAATAATATTACTAGTGAAATGAGAATTTTGTTGCAAGGGTAAGAGTAGTCACTCTACTGTGAACAAAAAATACTTTTTTTTTGTAACAATAAATACTACAAGAAATGTTCAAAAAACTACATCATAATTTAAATTTTTTTGGTCGCACATACATACGTGTACTTAACAAAGTAACCTAAAATACTAATAATAGATAAAAACAATTAATGAATTTAGGCAAATATTGTGTGCGTTATTTATTTCTGAACAAAAGGAAAACTTGTAAAATTTAAAGAGCAAATATAGGTAGGGTTGGGCGTTCGACGTTCGGTATTCTATTTGGAATTTTTTAATTTTCAGTTCGTTAATTTGATAATTGGAAGTAAAAAGTAGATATCAACTATCAAATTGTTAAATTTCATTTTGGTAATTCAGTAATTTTTAACCAAATTTTGGTTCGATATGGTATTCGAAAATAACGTATATTATTGTTCCAATTATTAGAATAAAAGATCAACAATTAAGAAGACATCAAAAAAAATAAACTGATACAACTAAAAAACATATGTATTTGAATTGTTTATGTTTAATCTTTAACTTTTTTCATTAGACTTGTACTAATGAGCAATAGACCTGTTAATATACAACCTTCATTAAGTAAATAATTCGGTATTTGAGAAATACCAAATACCAAATGATACTAATGTCTCATATCAAAGTCAAACCTAAATATCACTCAAATATCGAACTACCAAATATCACATTAACAAAAAATTCGATTCAATTCGATAATTCAATTTTCGATATTTTATACTGAGCCCTAGTACAACGTTATAGCCTTGTTGTCCACACGTTAAAGTCAATCTTCCAATACCACACAACTTACCTACTTAACAATCAAAACAATACAGTACATTCTTTCTCCTAAATGGACCTGAATAGAACCAAACCAAAGAATATTTAAATTTTTTATCACATTAGATGTTTTCCTATATATGTTGGTGTACATTCTACCTACC